TTAAGAACTTTATTCTTTATGAGATAAAGTACAATTGCTGAGCACTATCGCAATACTCTAACAATAATGGCAACTCCAAATGATATGTGATCACCCTGACAAGAGCATGCATGATAATTTTAAAAACCCTTCTTTGTCCAAACTGTTACTCACATTACAAAAGGAGCAAATGAAAATGAAGTGTTCTACACAGTAGCTAGATATGAATATTGAACACTATCAGCATATTTTCTGAAGTCTTACAACATTTAAAAATACTGAGACTGAAATTAGTGTGGTCCAATGTCTAAAACTGCAATTTGTTGGATCTCTAGGGAAGTAGTTCATAACACATGTATATTTTAAGCCAACACTGCTAAAACCTATGAAAGTCATGAATACAAAGCTAGTTTACTGATTATAGTTTATAATCCTACATCACTTGGGTCCTGGCCATCTTCCCAGCCTGTCAACTTATGTTGACCATATGAATTTCATAGGATTTTCTTAGGCAAGAAATGCTCAGAGAATGTTTTGTAAAATCTTTCCTCTGAAATATAGCCTACAGCACCCAGCACTTCCTAGTGGTCTCCCATTCAACTGTTAACCTGAGCTGACTCTGTTTAACTTCCAATATTTTTAGGGTTTTCAGTAGGCTTCCTATTTGAGCATCTCTAAAATTTCAAATTGTTGGGAGAGGCCCTTCTTTCGTTCCTGCTGCTTTCACAAACACATCTGGTGAGAACACAGGAAACATCCTTCATGCCGGCTGTTCCCAGGCCTGAATTCCCTTTCTTGGGAGCTTGTTGTCTTTCCCGTGGCAGGTGATGATTTTTCTATTCTGACAGGCTTTGGAGAATGTATTGTTTATAAGAAAAGAGCTTTTAATAATGTGCTGTACTATTTTTATCTTTAGTCTTTTGAATGCATTTTAATTATTTAACTCTATGGATAGTTTGATTACATTTTTATAATATTTCTTTGCTGGTTGTACTTAATTTTTTAAACCGAATATAAACTATCCTTAAATTTAATAGGGAAAGGGCAGTACAGAAATAAGAACCAACTAAAACCAAGGGAATCACAACAGAAAATAAAGCAAACTTCAACTTTTAATAAGGGTATAGACTCCTACAACTGTGGAACTGAAGAAACATGAACAAAACTATAAAAACCAAAGCTTTAAAATAGATGATATGCTGAAAGATTACATGCTCAGATAAAAGGATAAGAAGCTAAAGATTGCAATCATACAAGGCATATGAATGCGAAACAGAATATTCTCGCTTAAGATACATTTTTAAATTGTTGCTCTGATGTAACTAACTAATGAACAAGAAAAGTTTAAGCCAGCTCTGCAAGATTTTGTTAGGCGGTAAACCTTTAATTTCCTTCACAAACAAGACGAACATTAAACATGACAGAACATGTTCAATAACTTCTTTATGTTATTGCCGTCACATCTTGCTTGTGACTAGATTTTCTGATCAACAGGCCTCAGTGCAACATGAAAAAGCTTCCTTCTTCTCCCAGCTTTGGGGCGGGGGGAGGAGGAGAGGATATCTTCCTATGGTCTTAAGCTTGCAGGCAGAAATACATTAATGCATCAGACCAGTCAGAGAAGGGTGTGTTTCTCCTGCTGTGTTGAACTCTGGCACAGACAAAAACAGTACTGAGTGAAATAGAAAAGCCTTCTCCCCTTCCCACTTTTCTCAGGAATATGTGAAAAGAAGGCTCAATGGCAATGATTGCGTCTGAAGGCCAAGATAAAAAATTGTTGACCTGCCCCCCCCCCCCCACTAAGCATGCTGTTCCTTTGAGGAAAATGCAATTCACGTCAAGTGAACATTGCACTTCCAGAAATGTTTGTTATTGTTCCACAACTCGCAGTCCAGAGTCACACTTGGTTCAAACTGGAACAAACACTTCCTCTTTCTGGTTGCAGTTTGCAAAAGCATCAAGGCAAGAGGCGGGTGGAGTTTTATGCCGTCCTGCACAAACACACAGGAGTCTGGCAGAAGCGAAACACAAGAGGCTTATGGAAAAGCAACAAATGGAAAACCACTTTTGGCACCTTGCATTCAGAATTGTTTTCTTTGTCTTTTTATTCCCATACATCTGTAAAAAAAGTACTGTACACACTCGTGTATAAATCAACCTACATGAAAGTCGAAGGCAAGTTTGGGGTCCAAAATTACAGATTTCGATATGACCAGTGGACAGGTTGAGGATCATTCCTTGTAGAGGAGAAAGCACCAATCCCTCCTTAAGGGCCAAACACAATTTCCCCATCCAGGATCCAAAAAGGCCAGAATTGGTGCCATTGCAAAAAGAGTAGAGACGTTTGGTACTTTATTTACATTTTCCTGGGAAGAACTGAGCTCGTCCCTTTTGTCACTCTATTAGGTATAATTCCTCTTTTGATAAGTGTTAAGGTACAATACTCATATTGACCCGTGGATGACTTGACCCAGGGTCTTTGTGCTGTTTTTTCACTAAAATTTCTAGACTTTTACACAAGCTTATACTGAAGTTACTTGTTTTCCCTAACAAATTCTGCCACACTTAACACTTTGCCATGGAGGATACTGGCTAAAATAAAAAGCTGAAATACTACTTATAAAACAAGCTTTAGTTGCTCTTTCTCCACAGTGGAAAAGGAGTAATGGACCAAGTACAACATGACAGCTACCAACAAAAGATAAGTCAGCACCATTCATTCTAAGTTACTGCAAAGCCAGAAATTTGAAGGATGAAGGATAATTTCATTTTTATATGGATTAGGGTCACACCCTTGATTTATCTAATTTTCTTGCACATAACATTACAAGTTGAGCATTCCTTATCCATAATTCTGAAATTCTAAATCCTCCAGAATTATCCACGAGCGGCTGAGATAGTGACACCTTTATTTTCTGTTGGTTCAATGTACATAAACTTTGTTTCAAACACAAAACTATTAAAATATTGTATATACAATTATTTTCACATGAAACACAAACAAATGTTGCATTTAGACTTGAGTCCCATCTCCAAGATATCTCATTATGGACATATATGCAAACACAGGTGTTCAAATATCTGAAATCCACAACACCTCTGGTCTCAAGCATCAGACAGGGATATTCAACTTGTACTTGCTTAGACGAGCTTTTAATCCAATCCTGTGTGTTTTCACACTATACAATTATAGCATTATGATACTATTTTAATTGCCATGGCAAACCCCATAGAATTTTGGGATTTCTAGTTCAGCCAGAGGACTAAGTTCCCAAAAGGCACCACATCCCATACAATCCTGGAGGCTAAGCAGGGCTAGTCTTGGTTCGTACCTGGATGGGAGACTGCCAAGGAACACCAGGTGCTGTGGGCTATATTTTAAAGAAACTGGCAAAACCACCTCTGAGAGTATCACTTGCCAAATAAAACCTTATGAAATTCATGAGGCCTCTATGAATTGACAGGCTTCAAAACACTGAAGCACAGGAGGCGGTCCTTGGCTGAGGTTCCCAAACATCCCTCCACCCAATCCCTGGATTCCATGGAAACACAAGAGTTAAGGTGGAATCACAGCACTATATTTGGGTGGTGTGGAAGGACACCTACACAACATCACACCCTCATGCTCCCCAATCTGTTGTCTTCAAGTCATTTCTGACTTGGGCTTTTGCCTTAAATATAAAACCAGCCACTACAGTGACATGATGCAGGATTGGGGGGGGGGGGGAGGTATCGCAGTCACCATATAATAATAATAATAATAATAATTATTATTATTATTATTATTATTATTATTATTATTAAAAATCTTGACTGACAGGTAAGCTGCTCTTTCTGGAAAGGGAAGGAGGTACCCCACACAAACACACAGAAAGCCCTCCAGTGCTAAAAGAGGAAGGAAGGAAGGAAAGGGAAGAAAAAGGAAGGGAAGGGAAAGGAAAGAAAATGAAGGAAAATGAAAGGAAGGGGAAGGAAAGGAAAGGAAGGAAAAGAAGTGGAAGGCAAAGGCAGGGAAGGAAAACGAAAGCAAGGAAAATGAAAAGAAGGGTAGGAAAAGAAAAGGAAGGGAAGAAAGGGAGGAGAGGGGAAGGCAAAAGCAGGGAGGGGAAAGGAATGGAAAGGAAGGGGAAGGGAAGAGAAGAGGAAGAGGAAGGAAAAGGAAGGAAGGAAAGGAAGGAAAAGGGTTAGAAGGCAAATGAAAGGAAGGAAAAGGAAAGGAAGGGAAAGGGAAGGAAAAGGAGTGGAAGGCAAAGGGAGGGAAGGAAAAGGAAAGGAAGGAAAGAGAAGAGAAAGGGAGGAGATGAAGGAAAAGGGGGGTAAGGCAAAGGTAACGAGGAAAAACGAAAGGAAAATGAAAGCAAGGAAAATGAAAAGAAGGGTAGGAAGAGAAAAGGAAGGGAAGGGAGGAAAGGGAGGGGAGGCAAAGGCAGGGAGGGAAAAAGAATGGGAAGAAAGGGGAAGGAAAGGAAGGAAAAGGGTGAGAAGGCAAATGAAAGGAAGGAGAAGGAAAGGTTGGGAAAGGGAAGGAAAAGGAGTGGAAGGAAAAGGAAAGAGAACGAAAGGAAGGGGAAGATGTAGGGAAGGAGGGATGGGAAAGGGAAAGGAAGGAATGAGAAGAGGAAGGAAGGGGAGGAGAGGAAGGAAAAGGGGCTAAGGCAAAGGCAAGGAAGAAAAAGGAAGGAAAGGAAAGGAAAAAGAAGAGAAAGGAAGGGGAAGGAAAAGGGAAGGAAGAGAAGGCAAGAAAAGGAGTGGAAGGCAAAGGCAGGGAAGGGAAAGGAATAGAATGGAAGGGAAATGGTAGGAAGGGGAAGGGAAGGGGGTGGGGGGTGCCACCCAAGGCGCCCGTCTTGTGGGGCCACGCCTCGCTCTGAGGGCAGGAAAAGGTGCCTGTCTTTCCCTCTGAGGAGGGAAGGAAGGAGGGAGGCCGCCATTTCGAGAAGGGCAGGGGGGGGGGGGAGAGGGAGGGAGGGCAGGCGGCAAGGAGGGCGCGGCATCTTCCCCGGTGTCCCTGGCCGGCTTACCCGTCCTCGGCGCCGCCACTCGGGCCTCCTCTTCCTCCTCCTCCTCCTCTCCTCCGTCTCTCCGGGCGAGCGACCCACGGACCGAGCGACCTCTCACCCGCTCCTCCTCCTCCGCTGCTGGCTCCGCCTGGCCCCCGGCGGGAGAGGCGGGGAAGGCGGGGAGGCTCCCTGGGCCGCCGCCGCCGCTCCTGCGCCGCCTTCCAGCCAGCCAGTCGGCCAGCCTCTCCCTCTCTCCTTCCCTCTCCCTTCCCTGCAAGGCTGAGGCGAATGTGCCTGCAGCCCCGAGAGACCCAGACCAGGCCTTCCCCCCCCCTCCCCTACACTTCCGAATTAGATTGACGCCTCCGCAGCTGCCATAGCCCGTTTTGTAGGAGCCTTCTCTGCCCAAGAAAACCCCCCAAACTACGACTCCCAGGTTTCCATAGTATCCAGCCAGGGCAGTTCAAGGGGGGTCGAAACTGCTTTAATTCAGCCATGTAGAGATGCGCCCTCTGCTGAGGAGATGTGGGGCCTTCCTCGCAGTTTGGGGCGTTTGGACTGCTCCTCACGCAGCCCCTTCTGCTGGAGGCCCATCCAGGCCTTCTTCCCATAGGCCCCTTCCACACAGCGGAATAAAGTCCCACATTATCAGCTTTGAACTGGAATATAGGCCAGTGTGGACTCAGGGCCCTTCCAGACAGGCCCTATATCCCAGGATTCGATCCCAGGATTTCTGTTTATCTCAGATTATCTGGCAGCGTGGCCTCATATAATCCAGTTTAACCTGGGGTATAGGGCCTGTCTCATACTGTATAAACCAGAATCAAGGCAGAAAATCCCACAGTACCTGCTTTGCTTATCTGAGGGCCCTTCCACACAGCCCTATATCCCAGAATTACTGAGTTACTTAGGCGATCCCTCGTTGTCTGAGTAGGATTGTCTTCCAAGTACTGGCGGTGGGTCCGTAGGTGACTGTGGAGTCCTATTCTTGACCTGCATCTTCTCCCGCAGTGAGGGCATTGTTTTCCAGGTGGAAGGCAGTCCCGGTCGGGGTTGGCTTGATGCGCCTTCCTCTTGGCACATTTCTCTCGTTCGCCCTCCATTCGTGCCTCTTCAAATTCTACAGCACTGCTGGTCACAGCTGACCACCAGCTGGAGCACTCACAGGCCAGGGCTTCCCAGTTCTCAGTGTCTATGCCAGAGTTTTAAGGTTGGCTTTGAGCCCATCTTTAAATCTCTTTTGCGTCGTCTGTGCACACAATCAGAAGAAGACCTACAAGCCACTCTAAACATCTTCACAAAAGCATACAAGAAGCTCAGCCTGTCATTGAACATCGAAAAAAACCAAAGTGCTGTTCCATCAGTCACCAGCCAATCCCTCTCCAATGCCAGAAATACAGCATAATGGTGTAACATTAGAAAATGTTGACCATTTCCGCTACCTTGGCGGCCACCTCTCCACCAAAGTCAACATCAACACCGAAATACAACACTGCCTGAGCTCTGCGAGTGCAACATTTTTCTGAATGAAGCAGAGAGTGTTTGAGGACCTCCATAGGGATACCAAGGTGCTTGTTTATAAAGCTATTGTCATCCCAACCCTGCTATACGCCTGCGAGACGTGGACATCTACAGACGTCACATGCAACTCCTGGAACAATTCCATCAGGGTTGCCTTTGAAAAATCCTGCAAATCTCTTGGGAAGACAGACGGACAAATGTCAGCATGCTGGAAGAAGCAAAGATCACCAGCACTGAAGCGATGGTCCTCCACAGTCAACTCCGCTGGACTGCCCACATTGTTTGGATGCCTGACCACCATCTCCCAAAGCAGTTGCTCTTCTCCAAACTCAAGAATATCAAAGTAGAAAATCCCACGATGTCTGCTTTGAACTGGGTTAAGATAATGTGGGATTTTCTGCCTTGATATTCAGGGATATAGGGCTGTGTGGAAGGGCCCTGAGTCCACACTGCCATATATTCCAGTTCAAAGCAGATAATGTGGGGTTTTATTCAGCTGTGTGGAAGGGGCTTTAGATAACCCAGTTCAAAACAGATATTGTGGGATTTTCTGCCTTGATATTCTGGGTTATATAGCTGTGTGGAAGGGCCCTGAGGTGCATCTGCACCAGGGCCCCCCAAACTAAGGCCCTCCAAGGTCATAGGGCCATCCTAAACTTTAGACTTAGGGCCTCCGTAACCCCAAAACAACTTAAAGGCATACAAGCACAACAGTCCTAAGTCCCTTCCACACAGCCATATAACCCAGAATATCAAGGCAGAAAATCCCACAATATCTGCTTTGAACTGGATTATCTGAGTTCACCTGACATATAATCCAGTTCAAAGCAGGTAATGTGGGATTTTATTCAGCTGTTTGGAAGGGGCCTTAGTTAAGTACACAACAAATCCGAATTACCCTATATACTTGAGCATAAGCTGACCTGGATATAAGCCGGCACACCTAATTTTACCACAAACAACTGGGAAAACTTAATTGACTCAAGTATAAGCCGAGGGTGGGAAATGCAGCAGCTACTGGTAAATTCGATAGTAAAAATATATACCAATAGAATTATGTTAATTGTGGCGTCAGTAGATCAATGTTTTTGAATATTTACATAAAACTCTAAGATAAGACTGTCCAGCTCTGAGTATATCATTAGTCTAACCTTCTTCAATGTAAATGTGCTTACATATGCTTCTAATAATCACCATAGTATATTTTCACTATACATTTTAGGGAAAATGCTGTGTGTATATGAATAAGGAAAAGTGAGAAAGAGTGGCGCCGAGAGAGGAGGAGAGGAAGGCATGCTTTGTGAGAGAGGAGAAGAGGAAGGAGAGCTGGGTTGCTTTGCAGAGAGATGAGGGTCCTGGCAGGAAGGCATGGGGCTGAAAGAAGCCCTTCTTTCAGCCCCTATGCTTTCTGCCATGACCCTCACCTGAGTATAAGCCAAGGGGGGCTTTTCAGCCTAAAAAAGGGTTAAAAACTAGGCTTATACTCAAGTATATACAGTAACTCGACTCTGGTCAGCCAGGAGCAGACCCATGCTTCCCATTGAGATGCTGGTATGTTTATGTTGGTTACAATTTTTCTTCATTTTAAATATTGCATTGTTCTTTCATTTTTTTTTGCACTACAAATAAGATATGTCCACAGTGTGCATTAGGAATTCTTTCATTTTTTCCCCCGGACTATAATCCATTCCATCTTGTCCCCACAATTGTCTGAGAGATCATGAACTGTCTTTAAAAGTTTGAGGAAACCTGCACCACACTGTCGAATTAATTTGACAGTGCTTGAGCTGCTTATTTTTATTATTATTTTTCGTATCAGAAGTGACTTGAGAAACTGCAAGTTTCTGGTATGAGAGAATTGGCTGTCTGCAAGGACATTGCCCAGGGGACCCCCGGATGTGTTACCATCCTGTGGGAGGCTTCTCTCATGTCCCTGCATGGGAAGCTGGGACTGACAGACGGGAGCTCACCCCTTCTCTTGGATTCGGTCAGCAATCCTACTGGCACAAGGCTTTAGCCCATTGCGCCACCGGGGACTCCTTATGGAATTCTGGGAATTCTAGATTGGTGAGACGGCAGCACACTTTGGCAGAGAAAGCTGCTGCAAGAAAATTGCACAGATGGACTACAAACAGAGGCACAACTATGTGGCCCAAATGATTCATTGGAACTTATGCCACAAATACCACGTGACAGTAGTAAAGAACTGGTGGAATCATAAACCTGCAAAGGTAGTGGAAAATGAACACGCAAAAATACTGTGGGACTTTCAGATCCAAACGGACAAAGTTTTGGAACACAATACACCAGACATCATGATTGTGGAAAAGAAAAAAGTTTAGATTATTGATGTCGCCTTACCAGGTGATAGT